TTAGGATTCCTAAATGGAGTAAATTTGTGTAGTTTTCTTGATTTATTCTGCAGATATAGGTAAGGCTTTGGCGAAATTTGAAAGAGCAACTAATATTCTTCAACCTGGTATTTTTTTTTAGATTTTATTTTTTATTTTTTTCGTCTGTTTTTTCGAGTTTAAAAAATGTGAGCTGGCTGGAGCCTTCATTCCTTGTCTATTTCTTACACTAGATACCAGCCGATACCCCCCCCCCCCCGCTCATAGAGACTGCGTATTACAGTTGATTATAGTTCCTGGGCTCCCTGTGATATAACTCGAAACTTAATGAAAATATTCAACCTGCGGCAGAAAAGTAATCTAAAGGCCCGGACCGATGTACATTAAACGTATGCAAAAAGGAAACTGCGGACGAGCAAAATGTCGGAGTTGGCTACATCAGTATTTATCCGCTCCAGCAATGGACAAAATTGGTGAAAATTTACAACAAAAACAGAACGGAAAAGAACGGACGCGTTCAGTATGTAGGGGGGGGGGGGGTTGTTGAACGGATGTTTATCGGAAGCCTGGCGGATGAAAGTGGATGACAGCTCCGAAGGTGCTATTCGGGGATAATTGCGAAGCGGGCGCACAGCGGATGCATCACATACGCCTATTTCGGAAACAAGGGGAATGTGGACGCTTTGTCAGTTTTGAATACTTTATTATACCAGATGCATACGTTTACATTCTTTTTATTCCAGTGTTCCTAACGATGTATAAACGCTTCATGTACCTTGTCTTTAATCCTACTTTCAGTTTTCAGCTGCAGCAGATGCGAGTTGCGAGGGTGCCCAGAGGATGCAGAGATGAATACGGCGGACGCTTAACGGATGATAGCGGACATAGAACGCTTGTTGCTCGTACATATCGCGGATTGACATCGTACACAGCGGAAAGGGCACAGATCTAGAAGCAGTACCTACACACGAATTGGTGACGTCATAAAATACATGACCTTCAATCGGGGTCGTTTCCTCGGTATATACGAATTGGTATATACAAATTACAATAAAGATACTTAAGACATTACACATAAGGTAAAACAAATCACGTGACAATATAATGATAATAACGGTAATAAATCCTAGCTTAACAGTTGAACAGAACGCTCATATAGTCAGTCGGGTGACGCCGAGGGTCACGAACTGATGTTGCAAAATGGCCGTGTGGTTGAAACTGGGTCATGGCG